ATATATATATATATATATATATATATATATATATATATATATATATATATATATATATATATAAGTCTAATAATATTTAAAAAAAAATTTGGTAAAATTTTAATTAAATATTTTATTATTTAATTTTATATATAATAAAGTTTTGACAAATGTTTAATAGAACACTAAACTTTTAATTAAGTGTGATCTGGTTTTATAATATTTTCAATGATATAAAATTAGACGCAAAATTTAAATTTCAATGATAACATATTACATCAAACAGATGAGCAAAAAAAAGAGATGCTTCCTTATTGTGTTTTTTTCAGTGTGAAAAACCAAGTCACTAATTCGTTTACTAATGTATTTCATGGAGATGCTTCCTCATTCTTTTATTTATTATTTAACCAAATTTGATGAAATATATAAACGAATTGAGATCACATCTTAATAAGAGCGATTGCGAGAATACGATAATTAAAAAATATTAAATAATTAGAGGTCATTACTTATAACGACAAGTTGCACATTAATGTTTGATGCGACTATGTTGTTGGAATTGTAAGAGAAAACCGAGAATATTCTCAGCTACTGAGTTGATACAAAATAAAATCATTAAAATTAACATTAAATAAGATTTATTATAAGAAATTTATGTAAATTTAGATATTTAAAGGTTGTTTTAATTCAAAGACAAAATATTGAATTTTATGGACAATTAATTGCGCCACAAATCCTCGTGACAACCGCACATGCTTTGCACTCCAAAATCAAACTTCTATAAAGCTAAAGTAGGGCCCTTTTTATTTTATTTTATTTTGATTTTTTTTTGAGTTTATTTAAATTACTAGAGTTCCGCAAACCTCGCCGAAATTCCGCATGCGTTGCTGACATGGCATCGTCGTGTGAGTTTCCATGACACGTGGCACCGTGTGGAGGCCAAGAAAATCATTTTCGGTCCGTCACGTGGTGGGGATCTGTCTCTTAACCTTTCTTCCGGACGAATTGCCGTCGTCCGTCATGAAGTCAAACGTCCAACCAGGGGATTTAAGAATGTCTCCACTCTCTTTTTGTATGAACAATGAAATTATTTATTAAAATAAAAAATAACTAAAAACTGCCTTGTAAGGTTCATAAAATTAAAAATATAACGTCAAAATGCATTTTATGGTAATTATTTAGTTTTATTTATTTATTTTATCGAAATTGAATAATTGAAAAAAGTTAGAGATTTAAAAAATTAAAATAAATGATTTAAGAGATTTAAAGGCAGCCAGTTTAAGATAGGATAGGATCGAATAGCCCTCAGGTCCATCAATTCTCATGCACGTTCAGTTACATTTTTTTTTAATTATTATTATTAATTTGTGCCTCCTTCTATTTCACACGTGTTATGTCGTCAGCACTCCACATGGCAATCCCACTCAGCCAATCGTTATTTTTTTAACCCATTTTTATTTATTGGGTGGACAATCCACTTCACCAAGCAAGCACATGGAGAACCCCAAATTTCCACATCAAAAATAGTAATAAATAAAAATAATTAAGTGGAAAATGTTTTGTCGGTGGATTTTTGTATATTATTGTTCCTATTTTTAATCATAATTTTGTCAACCTAAACCCTTAAAATAAGTTTTCTTTTTCTTATGATTATTTTTTTAATTACAAAATTCAACGCGAAATTTGTAGAACTATTTTCCACCGACAGTATATATTTTTAGTTTTTACTCGTTTAAAAGAGAAAAAAAATAATAAAATAAATAAAATATGGGATTTTTGTGATTTAAAACCAAAATAAATAAATAAATAAAAAGGTTGATTACAAAAAAGGGCTCCCACTGTCTCAAAATCTCGACCACATGGTGCATAGTGGGGTTAAAATGGTCCCTATACTCTGATTTTTTTTATTTATTTACTTTTTGTTAAAAAAATAAATAATATATTAAAAAAGATAAGGGAATTGATTTTATTTCTCAAGTAACATGGGGAACAAGCCAACGATATCCAACTGAGAGTTCTTTAAAAATTTTAAAAATTATATATTTATTTTTTAAAATTAAATATTTAAGTCACCAACATAAATACTAAAAAGGTTGCTTTTTAGAAATATTATAAGAAGGTCCTTTAATTATTTGGCTTTAGAAATGATACAAAATGGTGCAATGATGTAGAAGCACGTGGTGATGGGTTTTAGTTGGCTGGGTAATTATATCACCATGTTAATTTTAGTTAGACTTAATGATTTGCTTAATTGAAAATTAAAATTCTTAAAGGTACCTACTACCGGGAGGTGCGACATTGCTAAATTTTCTTTAATTGATTGTGTCGGGTTACGAGATAATCTTAGACCTCTTTAGGTCTTGGTTTTACATTAAAAACCCGATCCTTTGTTAAATTATACAAATACTTTTCAAATTTGATCTAGAATTTTGAAAAGTTTCGGCTTTATAGTCATTTAATTTTGTTTACTGTAAAAAAAAAAATAGAAAATATATTTCGTTACTATTATAACATTTTTAATTAAAAGAAAATTGATTATATAATGATTAGAGAAAGAATCTATTGATTTAAAAATTATATATTAAAAGTTTTAAATAAAATTTGATTGGATTTTAGATTGGTTTGATCGTAAAAGTTTAGAATTTTAAATTATTTATATTACCAATCAACAAATTTGAGATATGGGCCTTTTCAACGTAGCTCATTGCTGCAATTATAAGTAATTGGGCTTCACTGATATTTGGGCCCTTTCAACGTAGCCCATTACTGCAATTTGTGCGGCCTGTGTTCTACAGTGGGCCGCTTGTAGCTCCATGAGCCTGGCCCAGTTCACTCTCGACCGCGAGGTTTAAATATTGGGCCGGATGTAAGTAATTGGGCTTGACTGATATTTGGGCCTTTTCAACGTAGCCCATTACAGCGATTTATGCGGCCTGTGTTCTGCAGTGGACCGCTTGTAGCTCAATGAACGAGGCCCAGTTCATTACAAATAGCAACTCTCGACCACTAAGGTTTAAATTTTGAAAAATGATATGGTCCTCTCTAGACAGACTTCCCTTCATTAAGGCTTTAAAACGCGTATTTGGAAAATCTCTCATTTTATTTATTTATTTATTTATTTTTCAATCTACATTAATTAAAAAATAACATAAACAATACTATAATTATAGAAAATCTCAATTTATGAATATTTTATTTTACATTAATTACAAAATAACACAAAAAATTGAACAAAGGATCATGATAAGTCTCCATTATTATTATTATTAGTATTGTTTTCTTAATTTTTGAATTTACATTAATTAAATTAAGAATAAAATAAATTAAAGGGTATTTTGTGTAAATTCATTTTCAAATACTCAAAGTTAGCCCATAATCAATTGGGCTCTATAGTGATATTTGTGCCTTTCAGGCTCAGCCCAAATTGTGCGGCTTAATGCGTATGGTTTTGCAAGTTCCGGTGAACGACTTGCAATTTGGAGCTGCGAGCTAGCTTCAAGCATCCATGGAGGAAGTCGATGAGAAACGATGTATCAAAATTCTGCCGCCAAAACTCGTTCTCCAGAAAAGAGAGCCGGCTCTTCAATGGCTCGTCGGATCGCCGTTTTTGTCGCCTTTGACTATCGTCTCCACTCTCAGATGCATCCATCATTTGTCTCCACAGGAATCTGTCTTGCCTGATTTCACCAAGGAAGCAGGTTAGTACCTTTATGCGAGTTTCATTCAAAGACATCCTGAATTAGAATAATTCTACAGTCGATCAATTTATGATAGACTGCATTGAACTGGATTTTTAGCCTCTTGAATTAGAATTAAGGAACTTAAATCTGATTTTTTGAGCAGAAGACCTGCGGACGTTATTATTGAAGGGTTTTTATATTATTGGAGCATTGGTTGTTGGAAATTTCAACGTCGGAGAACATGCGAGAAAGGCAATTGATGCGGCGAGGAGACTGAATCAGCTTCTATCTCATGGAGAAAAGTCGGAGAAACAGTTGTTGATTGGAGCGGTTGCTGATTTCAATTCCACAGATATTCATTTTTTTATCTCCGAGTCTGGAAATGGCACGAGCTTGGATTCTGTTTCTTCTGTTATGTACGAAAATAATCCCGAAAAATATATTTGGGAGAGAGGTTGTCTTCTCCGGTGCGAACTTCCGATTAGTGTACCGCTCTATATTCCTCTCGACAGTCCATCAGGTGAAGTTAAAACGGGTGGCTTTTTGTTTAGTTATCATAACTGTTTGCATGTTCGCGGGATACAATGCTTTACAGTTTCACCTTAGAGATGCCAGTTTGTATGAGTTGATTTGGCTACATAAAGTTTGCTTCAACTAAGGCACTGGAGCATACACAGGACTGTGGTCTAGCTGAATTTTAGCACTTTACACTCTGGAGTTCTAGTAGTCTAGCTGATAATCTAGGATTCAGGAACATTACACATACAAAAAGATATTATGACAGTGGGAGTTTATTCAAGATTGTTTATATCTCTACCAGGGGGACCAATTGATCAAATGGTTTGTCAATTAACTTTCCTTGATGAAAACTAAAAAGTACTCAGCGTGCAGTGTTTTGTGTGCAAACTATGCGGCATATATTTCTACCAGATACCTGCTTTGCTGTCTTGAAATTGTTTCTTTCCATCACTTTTCTTGCTTTTATTAAATAAGTGAGATGTGTGTTAATATCATTTGAGCTTCCATATCTTTCAGATGTTGAAAAGACGTACACACATGCCATAGAATCAGTTGTTTCCAAGTTGAGTGACCCACAGGTGGTATATGCAGTGGAATCGTTATATAAAAACTCCACAGAAGATCCTTGTCCAGTCATTCTACGTGGTTCACAAATGGATTTCCAAATTAATCTCTCAAAGATTAGGCATTTGAATGAAGGCAGCCAAAATGCTGATGGGATGTCTTTTCCATGTGAACACTTCTGTTTAAAAAGTAAAACTTCGTCCACAACGTTTTGTTCGCAGGTATTCATTTTTTTTCCAGATGTTTTTTTGGCATGTGCGGCTTTCTGTGACTTATAAGATTTTTTTGGTGATTCTATGAGTGTTTTGCTTAGTTTCACCTTAAGAAACTAGAATGCGATCTTAGCCCTAGTATTTCAAGAGCTTTTTTTCTTAGAATGCAGATATAGTCCAAGTAAGTGTTCTTCTAAATAGCTCGGAAAAGTCTCAAAAATCTAATGCACCAGTTGTAGAATACTTGCCAGGTAGTTATTGATGTCAGTATTTACTTCATAACTTCACCTCTCCAGCCTTAAAGTGGTAACGAGCAGATGTTTGTCATGGTATAGGTGTTCTTACCACTCCTAATGGAAGTTAAATTTATGTACTTTCAGCTATGGACAAGGCCAGGCTTTTGGTTGTCGACTTGAAGGTAGAAGTTCTCTGTTATGCTGCCAAGTATCTTCCATTGACTTATGCTGTTTCAATGTTGGTCATTCCGGGTGTAGTTGATCAGTTAAACTCGATGAAGAATTCAATATTACCCAACCTTTTAAAGCAACTCCCTCAGGTACACAGCAAGTCCTACTTTCATCCTTTTGATTTTTTATTTAAACGGTCTATTGCTCTGTTTTCCTACATCTGAAAATACAAAATCTTATCCATCGATGTTTGCTTCTGCAGCTAGTGCCATATCATTTTTGTCCTCCCGGATTTTTGCATCCAATAACTGCTACCTATGAACTCACTTATGGGGAGACTGAAATGAAGCAAGGTATAATCCAAAGTGTATGACCTCTGATATGCCAACTCTTGCTTATTAACACCAAGTTTCGTTAGAGTTATGGTAAATTGTCAAATCGTGTTTCAACTAATTGTACAGGCACCTTTAATTTATAAGTATCCACTCTCTTTTCAGGTTTGTGAATCTTTGCATAATTATTGAGGAAATGTGATTATTACTATTGTATTATTGTTGTCATGTGCTTAACTTGTCATTATGTGCTTCTAACCATTTTCCCAATCAGTTGAATTAAGGAAAGCCCTACACCTAAGACTGGGGTTACCTTTTGATCGTCCTGTACTAAGAATTGCCAGTGCCTTGGATTTCTCTAGTAGGAAGGACAGTTTGCCACGAAAGGGTAAGAATTATTCAGATGCAGTACATAACAATTCCAAACTTTGTTCTCCCTTTCTCTTTTGGTGGATTTTCTATGCTAAATTTCATTTTGTTTAATGATCTTATCAGGTTCCTTTTTGCTCAAAGATGTTCATATTGGAATTCCTAGTAGCGGTGGTAGGTTGCTAATAATGGATCTCAAATATTGTCTTTTCTGTTATTCTTCTCTTAGTAATCAAATATAAATAATGCAGTTTCTGGTGGCCAAACGTCTATTGTTCAAGGGTCGTATGAGTACCATCATTATCTTCAAGAAGGTTTCAATGACTCGGTATTCGAACTTTCCATTTACCTAGAAGTTGTAATTTATTAAATTATCAAAGACACAATGATAGAGACGGACTTTCACCTGAATATTACAAAGTTATAATAATAGACTACTTTAAATCCTTTGGGGAAAAGAAATAATAAACTTAAACTATTTTTATCTGTGTTGTTAATGTCCTATACTGGTAATATTATCCTTTTGGGTTTCTCCAAATTTGAAAACTTATCCGTTAAATTTGTCTTCCTTGCTATAGATGGTCAGTGTTATTTTAATTTGGAAGCGTTGGAGTTCCCTGTGAGCACAAGAACCATGTAAATTTGTTCACGTAAATATATGTATTTTTTAGAATAGACAATTAAATAGCCAATTGACTTGCTCTCTTCCGAAAAGGAACGTTGAAGTCAATATAAAATCATTCCTCTGCATAGGATAGATAGAAGCTGTGGAAAATTTGTTTGTTTTTGAAGGAATTTTTTACTCTCTACTGATATGCTTCAGTGATGATCTATGATGTGCTGGAAAATATACCCCCTTCTCAGGTGGGATAAGACGAAAAATTACTAATACTCCGATTATTATGACAACTACTTGTGTTGTAGGGCTGGGGTTGCGCTTACCGCTCTTTGCAAACCATCATTTCGTGGTTCAGACTCCAACATTATACATCCATAGATGTTCCTTCTCATAGGTATGAATTAGCCAGAATTTGATCCACATGTATGCTCACCCCCCCCCCCCCCCCCCC